ATAATTATAATTCATAATATTTCACATCAAAAGAAACAACAGTAATTTAACAAATCGTATTAAATAATGTGATGACAGAACTGTAAACAGAAGCTGAAACTTTAACAAAATAAATAACTCAGTTTCCTCTAATCATTAACCCATGTTCGTATCATTGAGTTAACTCCGTGTGTTGCTGCTAGCATACATAACATACACCTGACGTGGAAACGTTGCTCGTGGACGGGGCTACAGAGCTGCTAGAGAGACGGTGGAACCCGGTGCATTCCTCCGTCTGGATGTGGAGCACTTTTGCTAAATGTTTAGACAAATTGCTCGTGTTACCGCCCTTACATGCTGAACTCTTATTGTACTTTAGGTAACGAGCATCGAGACGGGTAAAGTTTAACCACCTCGGAGGTGTGTGTGGTGTGTGTGTGTGTGTGGTGTTGTGTGTGTGTGTGTGTGTGTGTGTGTTGTGTGTGTGTGTGTGTGTGTGTGTGTGTGTGTGTGTGTGGTTGTGTGTGTGTGTGTGTGTGTGTGTGTGTGTGTGTGTGTGTGTGTGTGTGTGTGTGTGTGTGTGGTGTGTGTGTGTGTGTGTGGTGTGACTGTGTGTGTGTGTGTGTGTGTGTGTGTGTGTGTGTGTGTGTGTGTGTGTGTGTGTGTGTGTACTGCCCCGCCCCCTCACACACAGACGGGGGAGAGAGATCTCTCGTCTGGATTGGAAAGATGTTCTCAGTATTTGTTCACACTTATTTTCTCTCTCCCGGCTCTAACGACGATGAAGAGGAGAAACCGGAGAAGAAGGAGAAGAAGGAGAAAAAAGAGGACGAAGACAACAAGGAGGAAAAGAAACCCAAAGACGACTCTCCGAGGCCGCGGCCGCTCCACAGAACCTGCTCTCTGTTCATGAGGAGCATCGCTCCCACCATCTCCAAGGCTGAGATCATCGCTGTGAGTTAGCGACCGGTGGATGTGGAATCACTAACTTACTTTGTACCTTTTGTTTAAACTCAACATTCTTTCCTGTTCTTCTCTTCTCTTAGCTTTGCCGGCGTTACCCTGGCTTTCTGCGCGTTTGCTTGTCTGACCCTCATCCAGAGCGCAGGTTGGTCACAAGAAAATATTGTTTATTATCATCATCCTTGGGTATAACAACAGTTCGTAGGCTTCTCTCAATGCAGTAAAAACAACTACATAAAAGCAGCGATAAACGCAGCAGCAGTAGCAGCGCGATTATTGTGGGGAAACTTCAGAAGCAGTTGGAGTCAGGACTCAGAGAGACGCGAGGAGAGCTGGAGCTGTGATGGCAAACACTGACGGTTTATTTGGAGCTTCGGCCGGAGAATTCACACGACATGTCACGAGCCACGGTCTGACCACAGGGTAGAGATGCCACAATCAATTCTGAAGACCCTCCTGTGGCTCCAGTTTAGTTCATAGTGTAATAATCAACATTCTTCAATAGAGAGACTAAACAGCTGAGGACACTGAATCACATTTGTTGTCGCTTATGGCTCGGGGTCATCTCCACCCCGAGAAGGATGTGTTCCAGGTGTCCCACAACAATAACTCTCTGACCGAGAGTTGCCCGGTCATAAACTGGTAACAACAACAACTTGCTAGGGCAGCCCCTCCTTAAGGGAGATAGCGGCTGTCCAAGAGTGGGCCTCTGCGTCAGAGGGCGCAGGAGGACGTGCAGAGCAAATTATTCCCCAACAATGATCTATTAGGTAGAATACATTTAATGTAAATGCACATATTTACACATTCTACTTTCTTTATTATTCCTTACTTTAAATGACTTGTTTATCTCACATTGTGTGAAGCAACAGACTTCAGGTTATTACATACAATTATCTAAATGAACTCTGTGCCATTGCAGGTTTTTCAGACGTTGCTGGGTGACTTTTGACCGCAGCGTCAACATCAAAGAGGTTTGCTGGAACCTGCAGAATATTCGAGTAAGTGTGCCACGTTACTTATATGCAATATGCAGCATAGTGTGTGTTACAGAGCTCTCCATAGAGGGTTTTTGTGTTGAATGATTTGCAGTTTCATTATCTATATGTCCCTGTTTTATGGTTTTTGTGAGTGAATCAGGGCTGTATTCAAATTCAAAGGTTTTATTGTCATACGCACAAAATCTTCTGACCTGAGCTCCTCCAACAATCCAACATATATAATAAAATACAAAATAAAAAGTAGTGCAAAAACTCTATAGAGAGGCGAAGTCCCTCCCTTTCCGGGGGAGCTCCGTGGGACCTTATTTCGTAAAAAGTATGTATTGAAGTCAATGGAGAGAGAAAGATTATTTTTCGATCCCGTTTAAATTGTGCCACGAATTACACATATGATGTTTGTCAATTTAAAAGATAATTTTGCGAGTCAAAAAAATTCAAATGTGTGGTAAAACTGTGAAGTAACACTTTTTTTGTGTGAAACCGCTCAATGAACTACATCTCTCGTCTCGCACCACACACCAAGACGGCCGTCACGTTGAAACATTTCACTTCTTTCTTTCAGAATGAGGCGGAAAGTATTAAAAGAGGTGAAAATCACTACAAGTCTGGGCATGTTGAGAGCTGTGCACACACACAAGGGGAGTTAGTCGGTTCCTAAGAGCCAGCATGCGGGACCGGGACTCTGGGATTTGTAGTCTTTCTAGTTGCGTATTTTTCATAGTCTTATATTTCAACAGTTTTACGACAAACTGTGACTTTTTTACATGGAAATTATTATTTAAGATTGACAAACATCATATGTGTAATTCGTGGCACAATTCAAACGGGATCGAAAGATACGTTTTCTCTCTCCATTGACTTAGGTCAGGTGGGAATAAGGTCCCATGAAGGTCCCCGGAAGTAGATGGGCGGGACTTCGCCTCTCTATATACATGTCAGTAGAATATGGGATATGTACAAGAACAGAATATGAAATTAAATAATGTAAATTAAGAACAAATTAAAATACAGTTTATTGCGGTGATAACTATTTATATAAATTAGTAGCAAGATGACAACAGGAATGTTTATCGGGGCACTTAACAGAGTTCAGCTGTTTAGCAGTCTTATGGCCTCTGGGATAAAACTGTCCCTGAGTGGTGGTTTTTGTGCGGATACAGTAGCTTTTATATTAAGAAATCCTCATTTAAACGTTTCTCAGGGGGTCCGCGGGGTCGTAAAAAGTATTACAAGTTGATAAATCAATTTAGCGAAAATGAAGGCTATTAAAAGTATTAAACGGCATTTTCCAAGGTATTACATTTTGTAGCTTGTTTTCAATAAGTATCTAAATGGTCCAAAGAGGTTTTATTCTACAGTGTGCCTGAATGTAATCATGGCGTAGGTGTGTAGTGTGATTCTGTGTAGTTTATTGATGGCATCCCGTTGGGTTTGACGTCATCTGAACAGGACATCGCACGCTCACTGCTTGATAGCGCGCGAAGGTCCGTTTACGCTGGTTGTTAAACATCGTTATGGGGAAATGCAAGTCTGCGTCCAAATGGTTGGAAAATAAGGAGGAAGGACAATCCATACTGTATATAGTCAATGTGAGGTGAAGTGTGTCGCCAAGGTAACCGGTTAGAACTCAAAAGTGGCGATGAGGTCTTAAAATGTATGGAAAGGGTCTGAAAAAAGGTTTTACATTTGACTTCAGGATTCCTGCGTATACCCTGATCTTTGAGAGTCGCTAGCCTATTATAGTTTTTTCGTAGGTCTTACCTTTTCTGTAGTGTGGGATCTCCTCAATAGCAGGAGAGGTTGTTTAAACTCTGCTTCACTCTCTTCCCTTCACAGGTGCGAGACTGTGAACTCGCCCCGGGGGTGAACAGGGACCTGGCCCGTCGGGTGCGTAATGTGAACGGCATCACTCAGCACAAACAGGTGCTGCGCAACGACATCAAGCTCGCCGCCAAGCTCATTCACTCCCTGGACGAGAAGGGAGACCTGTGGAGCATCAAGTCTCAGGAGGAGAGGCACAGAGAGAGCGCAGAGGTGCAGCACTCATCCTACGTTACAATTCAAACACATCGTTCCCAAATGATCTTGTCGTGGATCCGATGTAACACTCGCAACATTAAAGAATAAAACTGAACGAATCGATAGAACACAGATGGCTGAAGTCACATAATGATATTGCTGTACAGCATTATAATTCAAGTTTATTTATACAGCCCCTTTCAACACAAGGCAATTCAAAGGGCTTTACAAAAATGAAAGACATGAGGAAACATATTATAAAATGGCAACTACAAACACTCATTTAAAGACTCATTATAAGAGACACATTACCTCTTGACAAAGCAGTCTATAGCGTAATGTCCCTTGAGCCTAAGGGAATCTCAGAGCTGATATGCGGCTCAAACCTATATGCGTAGTTGAACTCTGACCTGACACAATATTGTATTTTCTGTCTCCTTGGTCTTTAAACAATCAGGTTCCATGACACTTTTCACCGCTAATACCTTATGTAGAGGCACCAATGCACATTCTCAAAATATTGAAACTAGAAGATTGACACTAAAGTTGACTTTGACTAGAGAACTCTTTGCTACAGAAATAGGTATGCCTCCTTTTGAAACTAAATTGATACTTACTAGTGTGGCTTGAAACACATGATTTATGTAAACAGATTACACAATCTCTCCGTAACTGAATTATTAACTTATGTTTGGTTTGTGGTTCTGATAGTTGGCGGCCCAGAACCCCATCCTGAAGAACATCACAGACTACCTGATCGAGGAGGTGAGCGCGGAGGAGGAGGAGCTGCTGGGCTCCGGCAGTGGGATGGAGTCAGAGGAGAGTAGCAAGGAGGGAAACCCTGCAGAGACCACCGTGGAGAGGGACGACAAACTAGCCAAGGTTTGACTCTCGCAGTTATTAACTTGCATGTATTCCAATCCCTATCCCTTTATAAAGTGCTGCAGTGATGACGTATTTGTGTAGGCCGACCCGGAAGTAAGCTGCGCAAGGGTTCCCTCGAAAGCGATGGGAATTCTCCGTAGGATTTTTGAAATATTGTAAAAAATAAGATCTGTCGAAAACATCTGTTTGATAAATGCTCGTTTTGTTCAGCCGGATAATATCCACATGTCTACCCTACTTTTATCATTTTCAAATCGATAAGATTTATGATTAGAAATTATAAAAGTAGGGTCATTTACAGGGGGTCCGCGGGGTCTTAAGAAGTATTACAAGTTGATGAATCAATTTAGCGAAAATGAAGGCTATTAAACGGTAAATTCATCTGTTTGCAACTTGTATCAATATTCCAATTACTTGTATGTAGACTATTCTGCACTATTTCTATTATATTCTATTTTATTTACTTGCACTATTTTATCCGCTTTATTGTGTTGCACTGTTGGAGCCTGTGACCTAAGATTTCCATTGTCATATCTCCACTGTAGCTATGCACACATGACCATAAAAGCCTTGAATCTCGTAATGCTACAAACATTACGAAGACCAGAGGTCGTGTTAACCGAATATTTTCCGTCTATGGCGGATTTTTTTTAACAATGATGGAAAAATCTGAAAGCAGTCCGTCATTTTGACGGATTAGAAAAAACTCCAGTTTCCCCGCAGCGAGGCTCCGGTGTTATGCCGTGTTATGCCGTGTTATCCATGCCCGCCCAAAAGGAAATTATACAGTTTCCAAACCTAACTTTGCCAAAATGACAGGCAGCGAAAAAGTCAAGCACAACCTTTGGTTAAGATGTTTATTTACTCACTTGTTAGCAATCGCAGTTTTTATGACTCATTAAAACTTTGGTTATTGACCAGTGGGGTTTATACTGGTGTGTATTATGTTGTAAAACTAAATGAGACAATCTTGTTCAGCTTGTGTTCATCACAGACCTTAATTCAGGTTTCTAAACACAAACCAAAAAAATGGTGACTTCAAGAACAGGGATTCAGAAGTTGTTAAATGCTAACTCATTTCCAGGTTTTAAGACTTATTCCTTCACCACTCGATTGAAAGCAGATTTTGTAACTTGATGTCCATCGTTCAGAAGGCTGACCTAAAACTGGCTGACTTAGCATTCAGTTTGAGCTATAACTTTGACATCTCCCTTGTTCCAGGTGTTGGATCGTCTGGTCTTATATCTTCGTATTGTGCATTCAATCGACTACTACAACACCTGTGAGTACCCCAGTGAGGACGAAATGCCCAACCGCTGTGGCATGATCCATGTTCGAGGACCCATCCCTCCCAACCGCGTCACACAAGGAGAAGGTCAGTGTGTTTCACCTCTTTGCACACATTTGTGATTCTGTTGGCTTTGAAACACTAATTATTTCACTAGCTTAACATTAGCTATGTTTGGAAGACCGTTTTGTTTCCACATTATCTTTCCCGCAGTTTACTAACTACTTCAACATCCCACAGTTCAACAGTGGCAGAAGATGATGGAGGAGAAGCTGAGTCCTTTGGTCGGTTCAAAAGAAGTCCTGTCTGAGGATGAGGCCGGGAAGATGGGACGCAAGGATCCTGAGGAGGAGGTGGAGAAGTTTGTGAACGCCAACACTCAGGAGCTGGGGAAGGACAAGTGGCTCTGCCCACTGAGTGGAAAGAAATTTAAGGTGAGTGGTTGTAAAGCAAAATAATCAGGACAGCATTTGACGTTGTTTTGTAGGGATGTCACGATACCAAAAACTCACGGTACGATAATATCGCGATAACAAGTCCATGGCATTTATCGCGATATTGAAAAATACTTTTAATTTTTTTCTTTATTAAATAATAATCAATCAATCAATCAATCAATCAACAACTTTATCAATCCCGCAAGGGGCAATTGGTTATGAGCAGCAGTTTATGTCATGTACACAGGTAGGAACATACAAGAAGAAAACACAGAAACACCCGGGAGCACATATGTGAATAATTCTAATTTACACTATAAATAGTTCAAAGCATCACAATAATAAATAAATAATCAAGTTAAAAGCCTTTTCAAGAATTTAAAAGTTTGAGTGCAGAAGGGATGAATGATTTAGAAAAGCGATTAGTCCTTTGATCAGGTAGAGCATATCTTCACCCTGATGGCAACAGACGAAATTCATGTGTAAGAACACGACCTGGAGAGTTCAGAATGCTCTCTGCTTTCCACAGAATCTGTTGGTTACAGAAGGAATTTAAGTCTCTCTAATAAATCTGATTTGTACAGCATTTTAGTAGATAGTAGTATTTTAAAGTGTCAACAATATAATAATCAGACCCTGCAATAGAATAAATCAAGTAACTCAAGTAACTCAACTCTAACTCGCTCACTCAGCATCATCAAGGTTATCTTTGAGGAATATGAGCATGTCCACATTTCCAGGTAGAAGCTGGGATGTTTGGGCGTTTGCAAAATCCCCTGCTGTGGGAAAAACTCTCTTGCTTGGTACTGATGTTGCTGGGACAGAGATATGCTTTGGCCCTGGGTGACAGCAGTGGGTCAAACTGTGCATTGTCTCTCCACCACTTCAAAAACAATACAGTTGTTGCCAAGAAGGTGAGGCTTATTGACAGGGCGAGATATAGATATACTGTTGGTACTTGTCAATGTCTCTAGGTGTGTACATGTAGCCCTGTAAATACGATGTCCTTTTGTGTTCTGTTGTTTTATGTTCATGTTGTAACCTACTTGCTGCCATGTTGGACAGGTCTCCCTTGAAAAATGGGACGACCTGGTTAAATAAAGGTTTTTAAAAAATTAAATGTGTCAGTCTCACGACGGTATCGCGATATTCCATATATCGTTACATCCCTATTGTTGTGACTTAATCTTCAAAGGTTTGGTGTGTTTTTATGCTGCATTTTCATTGCACGTGACACTAAGACCTTTTGCAAAATTCCTTTCTAGGGCCCCGAGTTTGTACGAAAGCACATCCTGAACAAACATGGGGACAAAATTGAAGAAGTGAAAAAGGAAGTGGTGTTCTTCAACAACTTCCTGATGGATGCTAAGAGACCGTCGCTGCCAGAGATGAAGCTTCCGCCTCTTCCAGGCCCAGGTAGACACAACCATTTCAATCTAAGCAACAAATCAGATCAAGGATATCGTATTTTGTCCACAACTATTTCAACCTTTTTTCCTCTTGTTGTCCTACAGGTTTGCTTTCTCCCAGCATGCCTTTCCCTCCTCAAGGTCCTCAGGGTCCGATGGGCTTCGGTCAGCCTCGTCCTCCACTGATGGGCTATGGTGGTATGTGCTTTTTCAGTATAGTGGGCATATGTCTGTCAATAAAACCACTGCTCTTTTAGATGACTTTGTAAACCTTATTCTCAGTGGAAAGTTATTAAGTTAATGTACTCCAGTATGTGGAGGGAATTCTTAAGAGAAACTGGACAAAGTTTGTCTTTTGTTATATTTAATAAATGAATACAGAAAGTCAATATAGAAGTGAAATCGATCTCAAATGCAGGAACATCCAGAACACAGCTTACAGTCACACTACATAGAGTGCTGCAGTGACGCGTCCTAAAACCCGGAAGCAAGTTAGCATTTTACCACGTCCGGTTCCTTCACCAAAAATCAGTGCAATCTCTCCATAGGATAGGTCTGTGGTCGAGACACATTCAAGAGACGGATCACGTTTTGTTCTACGACATTAAATCCATCAGCAGTGACCCCACTGGTGATTTCTGAAGAGTTTACGTGTCTGAGAAACGATGGTTGTTACCAAGTGGCTGAATAGGACTACAGAAGTTGTGGAGGCCGTTGTACGTCATTACGCCGAACACGTAAACACTCCCGCTAAGTTTGTTTGCCCTGTTCTGCTTGAAAGCAAGTACCTGCCTCCTGCAGACTGTTCAAACAAACGCTTCAACTTGAACCATTTAGAATCTGTATGTTTGAATATGGATCTTAAGTTGGCGTGACGTTGAAGCCCTGCTGTAGTTCCTTTATAGCATAACGTTAGCATTTTGCTTCTGGCGATTAGATTTATGATTTAAAAAATGATAAAAGTAGGGTAGACATGTGGATATTATCCGGCTGAACAAAACTTGATCCGTCTCTTAAATGTGTTTCAACCACAGACCTTATTTCAGCTGTTTTCCAAAACCCTATGGAGAGATTGCTTTGCTTTTCATTGTGTTTTTGTCGAAAGAACCGGAAGGAGTTTACTTCCGGGTTTTAGGATGCGTCACTGCGGCACTCTATCTTAGAGAATAGCCAACTGGTCCCACCCTTAAATCCCTTAGGCATCATCTAAACATCCCCACCATTAATCCATAAACCCCCTCGTCCTTAATCATTTGCAAATCCCCCTCGTACACTTCCTTTGCCCTCCTGAAATGTAAATCCTTAACATATGTCTCTGTTAAATACATACAAGACTAAAAATACAATTTAACAGTGTAAAAGTAAATCCGAGTATAAGACTATATGTTTTAAATGATTATATGATAATTTTACACAACAAGGTACACATTGGAGGTACTTTACTTGAGTATTTTCTTTCTGTTGATGCAATACTTTGACTTGTAGTATTATTTTTAACTTAAGTAAAGGATCTCAACACTTTATCCATCAATGTTTATTTTCACCAGGTGCCCCTCCCTACCCCCCCAACCAGTTCGGAGGTGGAAGAGGAAACTACGACAACTTCCGAGGACAAGGTGGCTACCTGGGCAAGCCACGCAACCTCAGGTGAGACTTCTGTACGTCTGATCTTTATTTTTGTTTTTTCTCCTGCTGTTGGAAGTATTTTGAACCTCTTGTTGTATTCTCATTTCCATTCTTCTTCTTCTTTCCTGGGCTCACCCTCGTCAGGATGTCTCGCGGTGATCCACGAAACATCGTTGAATACCGCGACCTGGACGCCCCGGATGATATGGACTTCTTTTAGGATGTTCCCTCCGTTACCAGTCTTCGCTCTTTACTAGTGTTCTTGTTGCTTTTTGTGGTCAATTTGGTTCTTTTCTTTCCCTTTTAATATTTTGTTTTTTAATTATTGTGCAACAAGAACAAACTCCTGCTGTAAACTGGCTTCTAAATAAAGTTGTGTTCAAGTATTAATAAGATGAAACCCTCTATATTTGTCACACATGTACACTACACGGCACACACTGAAAACTAACCTCTGCATTTACAGAACCATTTCACCCATCCCAGTACTATTAGCATTAGCAGCCTAGTATAACAGCTCTCATACAGCGCCAGGGTAGCAGTGTGGGGGTTTGGTGCCTTGCTCAAGGGCACCACAGGTGAACTGGGACCGCTTTTAAGTGCCAGTCCAAACTACTTACTTTGGTCTGTTTGAGACTTGAACCGGCAACCCTCCAGTTACTAGCGAAGTCCCTACAGACTGAGCTTCTGCTGCCTAATTAATATGTATTTAATTTTGTATCAAATAACTAAGAGAGAAATGCATAAGCAACCAAAGCATACAGAAAACATTCCTCAGGAAATGTATGAGATCTGAAAACTAGGTACGCATGAATACAAACTGTGCTCACTGATATTGGCTAATAATATTCAGATGATTACATTTTGCAAGCATTAATTTTGGTTATCAATTGATCTAATTTCAACAAGATATAAATGATTTTCTCCGTTGCATGTCTCCAGACCCCAAAGCCTTCTGGGTAGTGAAAGTGAAGCCGATGTGAAGAACGGTCGCCCTCTGCTGGGCGAACGTTTCAACTACATGCATGCTGGCCCTTTTCTCTGCACAGCTGCTAAATAACTGCAGAGGCCTTGCAGTTAGGGTGACCAGGTCCCAACAAACCAAATGTGGGACAAGGAGTATGTTTGTGTGGGACAATGTGGGACAGAACTGAATTGTGGGTAGCAGAGCGGCAGGGGCGGATCTAGACAAATATTCATGGGGTGGCAAGAGGGTGGCAGGAGATTTTGAGGGGTGGCATCCCCTGACAGAAGTATATGCTGATTTGAATCGCAATCATATCAATCAATTAGGGGTGTAACGGTACACGTACCCGTACTGAAATTATTCGGTACGGGCCCTTCGGTTCGGTACACGTGTGTACCGAACGAATATAGCGTTAAACAATTTAGAACATGAACAACTTTCTGGAAGTAATCTCAGGTATATATCATAGAGCGACCAAGTAATTTCATTGGATGAGAGGCATACTATGAGAGCTGGTCACAGGGATGCGTTCAAATGTAGTCAGTAATTTGAGGAACTGTCGAAATGGCGAACGCAGATAAAGTTGAGCTGAAAATCCTACAGCATCATTGAAGTCTCCGGTTTGGGAACATTTTGGTTTCGCAGTTACGTACAAGGATGACGGACAAAGACAGGTGGACCGAACCAAAGCTGTTTGTCGGTATTGTTCAACTAACATTGGTTACGCGGCTGGCAATACATCACACTCATTTGAAAAGGCATCACCCGAATGTGAATATCACCGGTACCAAAAGAAAAAAGACTGAAGTGCAAACCCAACTCCCACTAGCATTTAAGCCTCCACCACTCGCAGAAAGTTCAGACCGAGCTAAAGCTATTACAAACGCCAAATATCCTTATGTTGCCATGTTAGCAAAGCGCTACCTGGCTGTGCTACCTCTGTCCCTAGAGAGGGTGTTCTCCACAGCAGGAGACATTGTTAGTGCCAGCAGATCTGCCATTTCAGCAAGCAATGTGGACAAGTTAATCTGAACATGAAAACATGAAAATACAATGACAAGCAAGTCCTAATGTCAAGCTGGCTGCTTAGGTACTAGTACAGTTCAAATACAGATTATTTCAGTTCATCGAAATGCTGCACCTTAATGTTTATTTTACTATATTTTGTATTTATTTGAATACATTAGTCACAGTTTAATAATAATAAAAAAAATGTTTTTAATGTTTTGTGATAATTTTTTCTGCTGTACCGAAAACGTACCGAACCGAACCGTGACCTAAAAACGAGGTAGTACCGAACCGAAATGTTTGTGAACCGTTACACCCCTACAATCAATGTTAACTTGAAAAGCCACAATATTAATATTTTAACTCAATCACTTAGGTGATATTATTGTGGCACATCAGTAAAGCCTTACATATAAGGTGGCAGACGTAATTTAATGAATTTTAACTGAACAATAACTGAATGAGTTTGTCTCACTCTTAGACCAGCAGGGGAACCAAATCTATGCAGACTGCTGCAATAAGTACATTAATTAACTGTCTCATCGATGTTTGTCTGAATGAATATGATACTATTAACAATCATATTATTCCTATCAGCTGTATAAATAAATAATAATAGATTTAATTTGTTAGCGTTTTTATAGGTGCTCAAAGACGCTTTACAGATATAGTGAAGAACTGTTATGATTCACATATTCATTTATTATTGAATAAACTATATTTATTTTTTGGAGGAGTTAATGATGAATGTTCATCAAGATGCTTGCTCACCCTCCTTCAAATTTGAAAAACAAGTAATTATATCATTATTGATATACAGTTACAACCTTGACTTTACATCAGAAAGAACAAACATTAAAGAAGTGACTAACTGCATCAGTTAGGGTTAAACGTGTATTCAGCTAAAACATCGCTGCAGTTATTGTCCAGTGGAAGGTCCTTACCTACTGGCCTAGTTAAATCAAAGTGGTTACTTTCTGTTGGCTGGGCAGTGTAGTTTTACACACCATCTTATTTTACTTTTTCAGGACTTAAAATTGAAGAAAAAAATATATACACGCATACAAGGTCATCATCTTAACAGTTTGTTATTCTCATCGAGTCATCCGTGAGCAGTGCATCAAGTTGGCATGTCTATTACAGCTGAATGCGGCGATTACTATCTTGTTCAGCAAAACGCCTCACAAATTTATTAAGATCAACAGCTGTAGTGCGTTTTGATTCAATGCTGAGTACAGCCAAACTTGACATTCTCTTCTCTGTCATTGTAGACCGCAAATACCTCATTCCTTCAGTGCTTGGGTCCGAAAGGCTTCTCGTTTTGCGCCGTCCCGTTCAAATGAATTGGCCACCAATCATATTTCCACTCTCGCGCCAGGACCGGGGGAGGGGTTACATGACGTGCATCTTGTGCTGCATTCACTTGCACTCGGACATTAGAGACTTTCTCTCATAAATGTCCGATGAGCAACAACTTTTCTTTCAAAACAAAGATGCCAACTGGGGTGGCAGCTGGGGTGGCAAGGCTATTGTTTAGGGTGGCAGTTGCCACCCCATGCCACCCCGGTAGATCCGCCCCTGCAGAGCGGTCCGTCTCAGGCGTCAGAAGTTGAACAATCAAATCCCGTTTCGGAAAATCTGACGGCTCAAGCCGTACCCAATCAAACCGCGTCTAAGCTGGGAGAGATATCCCGCCGTTCATTTCTATATTTCAAAAAAAGATGGAGGAGAAACTAATTATCGCCGTAGCGAATCACCCGGTTTTGTATGACCAGACCCTCTTCACCTACCGGGATACAAACCGGAGGAACCAGGCATGGAGGGAGGTGGCAGAGACAGTGGGTGAAACTGGTAGGTTTTCGCCTGTTTGGGGAGTTTATATATATATTGCTCTCATAAAATCCCCGGGGGTTTTTGCTTTGTATGTCGGGGGCGGGAGATTCATGTGATTGGTTGTTCGTCGTGTTGCTTGAATAACATCCCCAAGCTTCAGACACGCCCAGCTCCAAGCTTTTTTTTGAAGCTGTAGTGTGGACGCTCCGTTACAGTTTGATTGACAGCAAACACACCCCCGTGATGATAGCCTTCCCTGCTTTCTCAACAGCCATAGGATAAATCTGATTTTAAGAAAAGCGTTTTAGCCAATCAAAATGAAATATGCGGGACATCGTCTCAATTTGCGGGACGCACCAAAAGTCGTGAAAATGCTGTGCAGTCCCGCGCAAAGCGAGAAATATTCAGTATTCAATACGGCCAAGTGCTCATTCTGTAGTGGGTCCTGATTGTACTATATGTAAGTCACAGCTGCAGCACAGTCTCATTTAGTTGGGTTCTCATCTACAAAATACATGAAATATACCAGGATGCTCGTCTTTAGCAAGCATGCAAACACTTATTCATTGCATTTACTGTTTCACACTCAAAGAAAGTTCCTGGTATTGTGTCATAACATTAGAAATGTACTTTCATGAAGACATCAATGTTTACACTGCTTTCTGAACATGCTTAATGGGCTTCACATTTGAATAATCAAAGGCACATATTCACATGAGATACCTTCAAAAACGACAGCCATACATTCACAGTATGAACAAAACCACCTGCCGGATCAATGTTGTTTAACTGGGTATCGGATCCACACAAAAGCAGCAAATAAAAACAGCCATTACATTTGAAAGTGAACTGTTTAGATCAGTGGTTCTCAACTGGCCTCGGGACCCACTTTTTCCTTTGTCAATAAATCGCGACCCGAAATTTTGAACCACTCTATTCAACAAAATATCGTGCTGTAATATATACGCCTTTCAACATACACTATTAATTAAAGTGAAGTAGTGCATATATCCCTTCACAGAACTAAAGAATGCTTTTAAATAAGGTTTAATGAGATGATGGAATCAAAGCTGAACTTTACAAATGCCCACATGCTGAAAACCCATCCCTAGCAGGGGGGTCTGGGGGAATTCTCCCCCAGGAGATATTTAGAAATACTAACATATAAACATACGCATTCTGGTACACTCTGAGAAGAAAATAAATACATCTATTACTACCCGACATATTAATCATATTTTATGCCATTGTTTGTTGTTCACTTTGTTCTGACAGCTTGCTGCTCCACACAGAGAAGAGCAAAGAGGAGAGAGTCTGTGACTTACTTTAAATTGTGGATAAGGGTAGATGGCTCCCATTGTTCTGTGATCATCAAACCGGGGGTCATATTTCATTATGTGTTCATTTTTATCTGAGGTTGTACCCATGGATGTATAAAGAGTAGTTCTACCGCAGTTATTCTCTGTGGGGACTTCCGGCAACAATCTTGATTCTGATTGGCCAGAAGACTCGAAAAAATATCAGCAAAGAGGTTTTATTGAGAAGATAATCACTACGTGACAGAAGTTTTCAAACCGTTTATGGT